TGGTTTAGGCTCCTATATCGAAATATGAATTCTATGGCTTCCCTTTGTTATATCTTTCGTTGAAGGAGAGGGGCGGTGGGGTAGCCTGGTGGGTAAAGCGTTCGCTCGTCACGGCGAAGACTGGGTTCGATTCCAACATGGGTACAATGTGTGTAACCCATTTCTGGTGTCCCTCGCCGTGATATTGCCGGAATATTGCTAAAAGCAGCGTAAAACCATACTCACTCACTCACTGTTGAAGGTGAGAAATGATTGAAATGTATTTATGGTAATAATGTTATATATTTATACAGCATGTGTTCTCAGAGGCAGTTTAATAATCCCGACCCGTCCAAATTCACTTGACCACTCCCCCGAACCCAACCGTACCACTCATTACCAGAACTATCACCACCCACAAAAGATAAAATACTCCAAAAGTTGGCCAATTCCATGTGATAGCACCCCAGGGACGTGGCTGTTTATTCCAGCAGGTTCTGGGTTTTGCTGGCCATGACTCTGTCATTTACAGGCAGTGAGCTATGTTGTAATAGAATATTGGTTACTGTGACATTGAAAAAGGAACTGGTTGGCTATTTCGGGAATGGTGTTACTGGGACACATACAACCCAGGAGTGAGTGAGTTAAGCTTTACGCCGCTTTTAGCAATATTCCAGCAATATCACGGCGGGGAAACCAGAAATGAGCTTCACATATTGCACCCATGTGGGGAATCAAATCCGGGTCTTCAGCGTGACGAACACGTCTCATCGGTTCCCAATTGCACAGATCGATGATCATGCTATTGATCACTGGATTGTCTGGTCCAGACTCGAATATTTACAGACCGCCGCCATATAGTTGGAATATTGCTGAGTGCGGCGTAAAACTAAACCCACTCACTCACCCCATTTCTCACGTACCCTAAGAAAACCAGCATTTCTAAAGCGTTTAAACAATGCTCACAGACGAGTCTTTCAACATGAAGAGTTCAGTATTCTATTACCGTTATAGAAAACAGGATAGAATACCGTTGTAGTATTAACAGTATTTCTATTACATACTATCACTACAAGTAGAGTACACGCTAATAGCGTGACCTAGATTGTGTCGTCTCTCGACATGAACCGTTATCTCAATGCCCCATACAAACGCCCCGATAGAACATTCTGGTCGAGTCTTCCCCGGCGACCCACTTAACGGCTTTCTATTAAACAGAATCAATAACGTAATTGTTATAAAACGTGATGTCGTGAACTGACTTGACCACTGGACCGCTCAACACATAATGTTGCTTACTTTCGTCTCTCAAAGTACACACTGATGTCTTTAACTATCAACACGACTTGCTAAGTGGGGCCTATCTCAACTGTTAGTATATTTGTTAAAATTAATAAACAAGGCTTATAATATAAATGTTTGACCTTTTGACCTCGAGGTTATTAATTAACCATTCTTGTATATTTCAATCCGTAAGATTTCAGTCACGTACCTCCTGGCCTCGGGGCAATGCGTGGATGATTTTTATTTAGCAGGTGGTTAATAAGTATAATAAATGGACAGTGTATATTGCAATTATTGCTAACCCAGTTCCAGTTTTATTTCGCATCTTCTCGGCTTTTCTTTAATCTTAACATTAACTTACTTTTATTATTGTTATCATTGTCATGTTCAACAGGTGCTCGGTTTACTGTGTCACTGACATATTGAGCTCAATTTGCACGTTAAATCACCTTTGTTTATTAAGAGCAGGTATACTTTAGGAAAGAACAAAGGGAAAGGACGAGAAATGCTTGCCTGACACCCGAATTCGTTTATTCGAGATACATCTAAGGATTCATTATATTTTCCATCACATTTCCAGATTTTAAGGTTAATCATTAAATCAGTACTCATTTCAAACAGTCAAAATATAATTTGTAAATTGTACCACAACTGTTTAAGAGGTTTCAGTCTGCAAATAACGTTAATTTTTTGTTTAACTCGAATTGTAATGTAATGCTTAGTAATCTTGCACTTGCTTCGAGTTGGGCTGCTGGGACCCATTGGAAGCTATATATAAGCGTTCACCCGTTAAGCCCAATGATCAGGTTCGAGTCCCCAAATGGGCACAAATTCCACTCAAACATCAACGTTGGATTTTAGCCGACATCAGGTATTAAACAGCATTCATTCACCCCAATACTACTTTAACATCTTAGACTTTGCTTTACCAGAATTCGGTATAAACAGAGTTCACTATATCGAACATATACCAGTAAACGCCAGTCTGATGAAACGTATGAGTGAGACTACCGAGAGAGTCCTTTGAAATTAATCCTTTTTGTAGAATAGAGTTTATTGCAAAAGTACGGTTACCAGCAATATGAAATTATATGAATTAAATTGAGCTTTTTAAAATTTATTTATTGAATTCAGTGACGTCTGTGCATGTCACAAGCAAACGTAACTAAAAGTGAGAAACTGAATGAACGAAATAGGATTGTTTAAGCTTGACAAATATCCCCGAGCATGAGACATGGTATATTTGCTTTCAAAGTAAACTTCTCGCATATCTGACTTGATTAACCAACACAACTGGCTGGAACTTGAAGATTCGTTTTCATATCTGACATGGCAGGCAGTTCTGGTTTTCATAGAACCCAGCACGTCTGAACACGGCGAATTAAGACGTGAGGAAGTCGAATACGAGTCTACACTACTGAGAATATTTTCAAACATTATTTATGCGATTAACCAATGACAGTTGAGCAATAACGGGTAGCTTTTGTGGGTGATTGACGCTTCTCATATCATTGATGTCAGGCCGCGACTTGATACGGGCACGTTTGCGCATGAGCAGAGATAGAGAATGGGCCTCGTCCCTGTCTGGGCAAGCCTACGAGGAAATATAATGTTTCTTAAGAGGAAGATAAACTTTTCTATAAGACCGTCTGACAACAAATCTAGGCTTTTATCGAGGCCTTTTCTCTCGGTACAATATGCGAGGCTCAGACATGTTAATAGAATAACGTTTCAGGTTGTTGTTTTTTACCGTCCATGTTTTTTAATTATAACCGTCTTTTCCTGTGTACTGTTACAAGTGCATTTCAGTGTTATTTGTTTCCCCGTTGGGATGTTGGTATCAAACTCAACTGGTTGTTCTCAATAAATGCATGCGGAAGTGAAAAGTAGTTTTGATTTTTTTTAAAATTGTTTGTGACTCATATTCCCGCGCGCCTGAGTGCATATTTTGACACCGATGCACGCATGCGGGCACACGTATGCATGGCAGAATTAACGCCTGATTGGGTGGTCACGCTCAACGATTTTGTTGATTGGATGTCATTGAACAAGACGGCGTGGTACGTTGCTCATATTATTGATCACTGTTTTGGCTGCTCCGATGAATGGGACACTCGGAATAAGCCCACAAATGTAGAATTCGAACCCGGACCGAGGACTCGACGAGCGTACACTGGTCTAATGTACGTATGTTATAAATGTGTGTGGAATTACACTTTCTTAGTAAAGTAAAGATTCATAGTCATTTCTTAAATTTTGTTGTTGTCGATGTGTGTGTGTTTGTTTTGTTTTGTTTTTGTTGTTGTTGTTTTTTTGTGTTTTTTGTTGTTGTTTTTGTTTTGTTTTGGGGGTGTCTGTTTATTGTTTTTGTTGTGTTTCCTACATTCGGGTGTGTTGTTGGGTGTGTTTCCTGCATTCGAACCCACACTCTTAACAGCAAATCGCCTGTACACATAGTCAACAACCTAACCCACTCAGCCAACGGGACTTCCACATCAGACTATATCACGTACTTTGTGTACCTCGTGTAGGTTGGCCCAGTTCAATTTGCCGAAAGCAGTGAGCACAGTAAGCCTTTTAGAAGTAATAGAACTGGTACTTTACAAAGTGTAATCCCTCACATAACATATGTTACTGTAATCAATAGAATAATCCCCCTACCTAGTAGAAGGTAAGGGTACTCATGGCCAGCGTGTATCACGTCGTAATTATTGATAGTAACACCTGTTAACGTTTTCCTCTCACGTGGCTATTTTCAATACCGATCGGTAATATAGGGAGGGTTTATGTTTTAAAGGGTTTTTTTATAGGGTTACATATTTATTTTTAAATATTGATGCTGTACCACGTGACCACTGCCAGCTTGTAGAGACCGTGACGGACCCCAAGGCCGTGATGATCAAAATATCGAGTTGTAACAGCGCGTAAAAAAGATCAAACTGTTTGAAAGAGTTGGGTCAGTGTGAATACGAAGAACGACACATTATTTCTAAAATGCCTGACATCATCAATGAGTTTTATAGGCTTCTTGTCACAGAGTAACCCCTAGTGGTTAAAGCGTTCGCTCGTCACGCCGAAGACCCGAGTTCGATTCCCCACATAGGTACAATGTGTGAAGCCCATTTCTGGTGTCCCCCGCCGTGGTATTGCGGGAATATTGCTAAAAGCGGCGTTAAGCTATACTCACTCACTCACAGAGTAACCCGCAATATTCCAGCTATAAGACAGGGTTGTCAGAGTAGTTAGAACTGAATCGGTGCTCGGTGCTGTCCTTCATCACATAGACTTGCATAAGTCTCAAAGGTAAAAAATAATAGTTTAAATGATAATTCCTAAGAAATAATAAATAACAGACTGGGGTCTTTAGATATACTGTCCGCTTATCTAGACTTGCCTCTTCGAAGGATAGAATTACCATACATCCACGGGCTTAGCATTCAGTACAGCCTTGGAGCAAGGCTATGCATCGCAGTATCCTTTCTTGTTCTCGGCGTTTCAGACTGTCCTCTTTAATCATTTAATTTAATTACAATAGTTGTTCGTTATACTCTTTTAAAAGCTGTTCAGAAACAGCCAATAAGGTTTCAAGCAATAAAGATATGTCTCCCCAATATCTGAAAGGCAATGCAACGATATTTTAGTGCGGCGTAAACACTTCCTTATGGGAAAACCGCAGCCTGTTTTCCTGGCCGAGGCGTTTGAGAAAGACGCGCCAAATGGATACGACCACATGCAATATGTACACGTGGTCGCGCGTTGCTGTTGACACGGTCAAAGCTCGGGACAATCCGCGGGCGCGTCATCTGGGTGAAATGTACAAGATCTTGTTTGACATACAGATCAGTGAATGGAGGAGTTTGTTTTTGGGATGTACATTTCAAAGTTGTCCCACAATACACAAGGTTGGGGTTCTAGATAACCAAGCCAACCTGTGAGACTTTGTTGTGCCAATGTTGTATACGAATGTAAAGAGGAAGAGAGAAGTAGGAGGGTGTGGGAAGGGAGAATGAGATAGATAGAACGGAAGAGGGAAAAAGACAGTAGAGTGGAACTGAGAGACATAAAGAGGGACATGGAGAGAGGAAGGAGGAAGAGAGAGAAAGGGAGGAGGGAGGGAGGAGGAAGAAAAGAGAGAGAGAGAAAGGAGAAGAGAGATGGGGAGAAAAAAGGAGAAGAAAAGAGGGGGAGGAGAACAGAAAGGAGAGAGGGAGAGAGGGGAGGGAGAAGAAATGAGAGAAGAGGTGGAGAGAAAGTTGAGAGAGAAGGAAGCGAGGAGAAGGAAGACAAGAAGTGAGAGAGGAGGAAGAGAGAAAGTTGAGAGAGAAGGAAGAGAGGAAGACAAGAAGTGAGAGAGGAGGAAGAGAGAAAGTTGAGAGAAGGAAGAGAGGAAGACAAGAAGAAGAGAGAGGAGAGGAAGGAGAGAAGAGTTGAGAGAGGAAGAGAGAGAGGAAGACAGAGAAAGTTGAGAGAGGAGGAAGAGAGAAGAGAGAGAAGAGGAAGAAGAAGTGAGAGGAGGAAGAGACAAGAGAAGGAAGACAAGAGAGAGAAGGAGGAGAGAAGACAAGAGTTGAGAGAGAGGAGGAAGAGAGGAAGACAAGAAGTGAGAGAGGAGGAAGAGAGAAAGTTGAGAGAGAAGGAAGACAGGAAGAAGAAGACAGAGAAGTGAGAGGAGGAAGAGAGAAAAGAGAGAGAGAAGGAGAGAGAGAAAAGACAAGAAGTGAGAGAGGAGGAAGAGAGAAAGTTGAGAGAGAAGGAAGAGAGGAGACAAGAAGTGAGAGGAGGAGAGAGAAAGTTGAGAGAGAAGGAAGGAAGAGAGGAAGACAAGAAGTGAGAGAGGAGGAAGAGAGAAAGTTGAGAGAGAAGGAAGAGAGGAAGACAAGAAGTGAGAGAGGAGGAAGAGAGAAAGTTGAGAGAGAGGAAGAGGAAGACAAGAAGTGAGAGAGGAGGAAGAGAGAAAGTTGAGAGAGAAGGAAGAGAGGGAGAAGGAAGACAAGAAGTGAGAGAGGAGGAAGAGAGGGAAAGGGAAGACAGGATTGGAGAGGGAGAAGTAACTGAGAAGAGGAAGAGAGAAAGAAAGAGGAAGTAGACAATAGACAGAAAGAGGAGGGAGAGAAGAAGTGAGAGAGGTGAAGAAAGACAGAAGGAAGACAGAGGAAGGGTGAACAGAGAGGGAGAAAGAGGTATAGGAATTAGAAGCAGAGAGTGGGAAGAAACACAAAGTGAGAGTGGGAGAGAGAACCGAAGAGAGAGTGTTTTACTTCTTCCAAAATCCTTCTTTGAAGCCTTTTAAGTAACAAGGACATTTATAAGCCGCATGGCAGTAATTTTCTGATACTGGCGTAGAACATCTAATAAAGATAAAACAGGACACGGAACATCCTCCAAATAAGCGGTACCAGATCTGTAAGGTATAGAGTATATTTTCACCTGTCTCAATATTCATTTCAAGGCCGTAAAGATACCCAGTCGACATGTTAGAATTTCATAACGATGCAATGGACTGACAAGTTCGGGTTGTCGATTTTCCCATAAATATTTAGCAGTAATTTACACACGCTCCATGGGCACGTGCAAAATGTGTTACTCGCAACAGCTTGTGGTTTCAATATCAGTATTGCTTTCAGTTCAGAATTCTTATATTAAGTAATCTTTACCACGACAAATGAATAATAATTGATTCGAAAACACACTCTCATATCATAATGACAAAGTTAGTCCCATATTAACTGTCGACAACTGTACGCAGTCGATTTCAACAGTATGGAGTACTGCCGACCAGCGACTGGTTGAAACAGGAGTTGAACTCCTAACAATGCAATCTAAGGTTACGGTGTTGAGCGTTTCCTATACATGCTTGTAAGGAGCTTCCCGAAAGTGCGGTCTTCCAAGAAATGTGCAAAGCAAATCTATACATGTTTGTAAGTTTGTAAACGTTGCGCGTGTCAAGGTTATATGATTGTCACCACGGGACTAATGATATGTCGATGTATTGACTTAAACCCAACGTGCCCGTGAAGGCATGTTTTATTTAGTAAAACATGCATAAATTTGCATATATTGATAAAACTGGGTTACTATGTAAGACATGCCTCCGTTGGGGAGGGGGAGAGAAGGTGTGTGTGTTTAGGTCAATACATCGACATATTTGCAAAGTAAGGACGAGAGTCGATGCCGTCGAGACATGTTTCAAGAAACAAAACAGAGGCGGAGATGCACGTTGATATAAATAGTACCACATGCGGCTGACACAACGGTGACCTTGACCTTCACATGCGACAGGCGGTTCAGCTCTCACGGCGAGTTTCTGACAGGGATGAACGCGTTTGACACCATGTGTTGGATGATATTCCATTGAGGCATGTGTTCGCTATTCGGTTTTGTTCCAATTGAACAATCGTGTGGTCAAATCTTAGCAAAGATACAGAATAAGCAGATGTTATACTTAAAAACAGGCATTCATTTTTTAGCATATTTGTGTCGTTTTCGTAATGTTATCCTTTAAGTGCTATCAAGACCTGACGCGAAAGGTATAACATTTCTGATCGTAAACAAATAATTCAATATGGCCGCAAACCATCGTTGAAGCACAGCTGAATGGTTTTGTCTAATCGCTCATGCAGTACTCATATGTCCCGATAAATGTGAGCTGCACGTGCAGCCCATGCAACAAATGACAGCTGTCATTTATGTACTGCCGCACGTTAATATTTGCACGACTTCCATCGGAATATTGACACCCCGATCAACATCGTGATATATCAGCTATCGAGTCGTAGCGCTGTTCTACTTTCACCATGTTACCCCATTGACCCCCCACCCACCCCCACCTCCACTCTTTCCTCTTTCCATCTCCGATACCCGTGAAGATCCGTGTCAGGATTGGTCTTTATCAACCCATGCTTGTCGTAAGAGGCGACAAGCGGGCTCGGGTGGTCAGGCTCGCTGACACATGTCATCACATCCCAGTTGTGTAGATCCATGCTCAATCTGTTGATCACTGGATTCTTTGGTCCAGACTCGATTATTTACAGACTGCCGCCATATAGCTGGAATATTGCTGAGTACGGCGTAAAACCCAACTCACTCACTCTCTCTCCGAGTCAGAAGAACAAAATTATACCTACAAGCACATGACGACAATTGCATACAAACTGAATTCCTCAACATTAAAAAATGCTGGTCTCAAACTGAAATGTCATGTGCATTGCATTGTAACCAAGTACAGACATTTATTTTGTTATTGTCAAGCAACAGTGAAGTGACGAAAGATCTGTACATATTACATACCATGAACCAAAGAAGTTACATATTTCCATGTAATTATATATACACCCATTAGACATGTTATCATTTAATTATATATACACCCATTAAACATGTTACCATGTAACTGTATAGACACATATTAAACATGTTACATATATTATATACACACCCATCACTATACTAAGTGTAGTATAAGCCTGCATTGCGAGTTAACACCTGGTTAACCGAGACTGTCAAAATATGATGACAGAAATTCTGATTTTAGTGAAGGTCGTTGAACGTTGGTAAATTCGCTAACTGCTTATACTTGGACAGTGAGTGAGTATTGTTTTACGCCGCATCTTAGCAATATTCCAGCAATATCCATGGTGGGGGACACCATTTAGAAACCCGGTAGTTCGGCGTGGCGAGCGAACCCTTTAACCACTAAGCTACCCTACCGCCCTTACTTCTGACAGTAGAACAAACCGGGTTTTAAGTGTTAGTGAAATATAATGCCGGATAGCCAAGTCAGACAAAGTATACTGACTCATTGCCGACAAGTCTATGTTTTATTCCAATTTTGTCGAGCGCCAGGCAGGGAAATAACAAGTACCGTCATTTAACGTCATGCTTTGACGCATCGAGGATCGACCCTCAGACTGACTGACTGACTGAGTTTGGTTTTACGCCGCTTTTAGCAATATTCCAGCAACATCACGGCGGGGGACACCAGAAATGGGCGTCACACATTGTACCCTTGTGGGGATTCGAACCCGGGTCTTCGGCGTGACGAGCCAACGGTTTAACCACTAGGCTAAAACACTACACACACACACACACACACACACACACACACACACACACACACACACACACACACACACACACACACACACACACACACACACACACACACACGACCTTCCGCTGTCCGAGCAGTCGCTCTATCCTCGACTAGAGGCGTTCTTGGTGAGTGAGTGAGTTTAGTTTCATTCTGCTATCATCAATATTCCAGCTATATGGCGGAGGTCTGTAAATAATCGAGTCTGGACTAGAAACTCCAGTGATCAACAGCATGAACATAGATCTACGCAATTGGGATGCGATGATATGTGTAAACCAAGTCGGCCATCCTGACCACCCGATCCCGTTAGTCGCCTCTTGAGACAAGCATGGGCTACTGAAGATCAATTCTAACCCGGATCGTCAAGGTAGAAGCATCCTGGAATATTGGAGAGAACCTGGATGAAATGGTTCGATTACTTAACCCCATAAAGTCAATGTAAAGACTATGCAAGTTCAGTATACCGCCTGACTCCTTATTGACATTGGCACTATGATCTTATATCAACACCTGCTTGTCCCGAGCTACTGATAACTCGAAGTTTATATGATGGTCGCTGGGATGATGCGTTACTCAGGTTTATGTAGTCGTACTATAGTACAGAAAGATAGTGGCGAGTATGACCATATGACTACTTTTAACAGCTTTTATTTGGTAAAGAGAGTTTGGGAGATTTGCCTAGGCCACCCAGATACAGGATGATAAGCAGGCGTTTATATTAATAACACTAAACCGACGATAGAACCTACACGGCGGTCAGTGGTCGGGGAGAGTGTGCGAGTATAGTTTTACGCCGTTTCAGTAATGGAAATATTCTAGCAATATCACAGAAATAGGCTTAACACGTTGTCCCCACGACTGTAGACTTGCACAAGTCTCTAAGGTAATTATTAATAGTTTAAATGATACTTTCTGAAAAATATAAATATCCATGTTAATATCCCTTCAGCAGTAAAAATGATCGTGTGGTTTGTTTGGGTTTTATTGTGTATGTTTTTTTTGTTGTTTTTTTGTGTGTTTTTTTTGTTTTGTTTTTTTTTTTGGGGGGGGGGGGGGTGTCATTTGTTTACATGCCGCTCATATTTAATCTGTTATTTAAATGTCTGGATCACTTCTGATTTTCTTTTTGTAAGCTGACACGAAATACTGAAATACCATTATCTGTTTAATATTTAGACCAAACTGGCTCACTCCCATACTCAGCACTACGTCACACAAAGTTAGCACGCTCGCTCACTTGTTTAACGCCTAGTATTAAGACAGGGTGAAACTGTTTACAGTGTGCGATAGGAGGATAAAGGATATCGCCTCATTATGTAAGCGTGCTTCGACTTCAAGTATCAAAACTATCACCAAATCGTATTTTTATGAAGATACGTCTCGCTAAAAGTGCAGTCGCCATCTACATAAGCACGCTCAGCAGTCTGAAACACTCCTTGTTCACCCAAATCGCATAAAACGCCATCCGCATTTTACACGAATCTCTCTCCTCCACGGTGAACAATACACCACTACAAAATGCTTGGAATATATTACTATCTCTGAGAGCACACCTCCGTTTGCCACGACTACGCAATGTTGGGTCACAGAGATTATTAAATATCCTATATCGCCAGCCACTCCTCCGCAGATAATAAATCGTTTGACGTGGCGCATTCTGATTGGCTGAAGGACACGAGGACAGGTCAAGACACTTGACCTCCGCTCTGCTCGTTCATGTCACCATGCATATTAGGCTG